CATGCCTGTAATTTCAGCACTTTGGGAGGCCAAGGCAGGCAGGAGGATCACTTGAGGCCAGGATTTCAGGACCAGCCTGGGCAAAATAGTGAGACCCTGTCTCTACAAAAAATTTTAAAAATTAGCCGGATGTGGTGGCACACACCTGTCATCCTAGCTACCTACTCAGGAGGTGGGAGGATTCCTTGAGCCCAGGAGTTCCAGGTTGCAGTGAGCTGTGATCAGGCCACTGCACTCCAGCTTGAGCAACAGAGTGAAAAAAAAAAGTACAGGTGAAATCTACTGTTAATACTTGCAATTGGCATCTGAAAGGGTGGGGGCAGTCTAGTGGGACTTAGCCCTTACCATGTGGAATCTAACACTATCTACAGGTACCTAGCAAAGTCAATCACTCAGCTGGTGTCCACTGGAGAATTGCTTGGTGAGTAGGGACCTCTCTATCCCCTGCACCTGGTCACAGAAGTGTTCTGTGTTAAGTGTGTGACTAGAAGCAGAAAAACAGTTATTTTATTTTATTTTTTTTTTACTTCTTACACTATTCCTGCTCCCCAACAAATCTCTGCCAAGCCAACCCTAAGATGTAGGTCAGGGCTAAAAACAGTGATAGAGATGACAAGTAGAGACCCCAAGGGAGGCTTAGGAAAGGGGATTGTCTGGGCTCGCTCCCCTTGGTTCAGCTTGCATAGGGTGTTAGATTTAAAACCAGTGGAAAGAAAGAGTAGGGAGTTGCAGTCTCTGAGGAAAATATGTAAGAAGACTCTGCTCAAAGTGTTGGGTTCCCTAAAATCTTCTGAGGGCCAGGTCTACGATGGGGGGCTACCTGCTTCCATGTCAGTGAAGGAACCACCAAAGTGTTTTGTCTATTAAGTTTCAAAAACAGAGATAGGTGTCCCTGAGGCTGACACTGAGCCCAGGCCTAGGGGAGGGGAGCTACTGGGCCAACTCTGTAAGGAGGTCATCAGTGTATTTCAAGGGATGACCTTAAAATTCTGGCCTCTCCAAATTTCCTTCTGAATTTTCACCATTACTCTTATCATTAGATGACTAACATCTCCCTTTAAAATGTTCAGGTTACCTGATAAGCGTAACAAATTCACATGCTAGCGAATTTCATTCATCAGTTTAGAGCCATAGGATTTTTAGAGCTACAGGGGACCATTGGCTGTTAGCCTAATAATTCCCAATCTTTTCATCTGTCCCCCATGTTTTGAAATATTTTTGTCTAATGAACATGATTTTTGAAAAAATAATTCATTTGCCTTTTTTATTAATCATATATATGGCTGCCAACTAGAGATTCTTTTATTTCTTTTTTTTTTTTCAGGAAAAGAGGCATGTGGATAAGTAGAAATTCTGATCAGTAGGAAATGACCAGTGTTACTACACTGAGCAATTCCTGTCAGAAGCTAACTCAAAAAGAAACCAACATAAAGCTTTACTTATGGAATGATGGTATGAAGCCCTAACATCTTTGAATGTGTGATTTCTGTTAGCCTTTAGTACCAAGAATAGCTCTTAAGTGCTGCCTCAGAGGACTCAATGGTTCAAGGAGCCCTGACCAGAAAACAGTGAGCCATGCCAACCCTTTTATTTTCTATATAAGGAAACTGAGGCCCAAGCAAGTCAAAGACACAGGTAAGTGCCTGAGATACCCTAATGTTTAGGCTTGCACCTTTGTTAGCAGAAAACAGGGTCATGAGAATCTGGGCTAGAATATGAGGCTTTTCTTATAGGGCAGAGACCATAGGATATTTGCGTCTTTCTCCCCACAGGACCGATGCCTTCCACACCATGAGTGATTATATCCTTGCCTGGGGGAGTGAGTTGCAGGGCATAGGCTGAGAGGGTGGAAACTTTTTGCAGGTTCAGGGAGCAGAATCCTGGGTGAGATACTGCCTTGGGATCCTGCAGCCAGTGGGCAGCCCAGAGGGTTAAACACCTGCAGTGAGGGAGCAAGAAAACAGAGCGAGGGGCACCCAACTGAAGCTGCCTTCCTTGGTTTTTCCCAGTTCAGAGCTGGCTAACTTGTGAGGGTTCTCTTGGACTTTCATAGCTCTTTGCATTCCTCTTCTGGTCTTGGATTCAGAGTAGAATTTCTCAGTGTTTGACAAGCAGGTGCAATCCTGTCACTCTCCTGCTAAGATGTGGCTACCTGTTTATTCTCTTTTTTTTTTTTTTTTTTTTGAGACAGTCTCACACTGTCACCCCAGCTAGAATGGAGTGGCATCATCACAGATCACTGCAACCTCAAACGCCTGGGCTCAAGCGACCCTCCTGCCTCAGACTTCTGGGTGGCTGGGACTACAGGCATGTGCCACTGCAGCCTGGCTAATTTTTCTACTTTTTGTAGAGATGGGATCTCCCCATTGCTCAGGCTGGTCTTAAACTCAAGGATCAGCCTCAAGTGTTCCTTCCGTCTTGGCTTCCCAGAGTGCTAGGATTACAGGTGTGAGCCACCTAGCTTGGCCACATATTCCTTCTTTGTCTCTTATTTCTCCCCCTCCCCTTAAGCTCCCCATTCCAAACTACTTATGGCTCCCCTTCCTTGCCCCTGAGCCTTTCTTTGTACAAGCTCCTTCTACCTGGAACTCCCTTTCCCTCCTCCATTCCTCCTAACTGGCTAATTCCTCCTTCCTCCTGGAAGCCGCCTCTGACATCCTGTTCACCCCTTCCCCTGGACTGGTTTCCCACAGCATGGTAGCACTTAATATACTGTTTCAGGAGGAACTGACAACCTCTAGCTCGGGGTTGCCCCCTCCCTTCTATCAGAGAGACACAGTAACAAGGGAAGTTAATGTTGTTGTCCTTGGGCAACTAAGGAGGAACCATTTAAAAATAGCATGGTCAGGGAAAGCTGCCAGGACCTGGGGGCACTTTGATCTAGCCTCTCCTTCTGATAGAACTGGGGTGAGATATCAATTCTGCCACCACACTGTATCATACAGTAGTCCCCCATTAGCCCCAGAGGATACGTTCCAAGACCTTCAATGGATGCCTGAAACTGGTTCATACTGAACCCTGTATGTACTATGTTTTTTCAGTCTGATAACCAAGACAGCTACTAGTGACTAATAGGTGGGTAGTATAAATAGTGTGGATATGCTGGACAAAGGGATGATTTATGTACCAAGCAGGATGGCACAAGATTTTCTCATGCTACTCAGAAGGACACACAATTTAAAACTTAGGAGTTTGTTTCTAGAATTTTCTATTTAATATTTTTGGACCACAGTTGACTTCAGGTAGATGAAACTGTGGAAAATGAAACCTAGGATATGAGGGGAACTACTGTATAGGGAATTGCATTTTGTGTGGGATTGTTAACTTCGGCACTGAAACAAAATCAGTTTATATTTCAAATTCTCCTTGAATAGCTCTTAAATTATCTACAAAGTTTTGTATTGCAACTCTACATCAGTTTCTTGATCTCTTCAGTAGTCACTGTCACTCTGTGATTCTTAATTAATTAAATGTCTTCTTTAAGGTGTAGACCAAGTATCTACAAGTATCTACAATCTATAAGTATATTTTTACCTGGTCACCAGACAATGTCTTTTACTTCTTTGTCAGTGACAGAAATGACATTGAGATAGAGATGCCAAATTAATGCAAGTTCTCATTCCTACTTTCCTTCTTTGGACGTTATAATCAAGGGGGATAATCAAAATATTTAACTACCAGTACAACCCAGATACTACCCAGTCAAAACCGATGCGGGTCATAAACCACCAGCCTTGGAGTATAGATGGGTACCTACTGCTGCTCAGTCCTGCCTGACATCAATAAGGAACCCTGAGAGATGTGTTAGAAAAGGACTCTGAGTGTTACAGCTCTTTTAGACTTTGGCAGGTTTTCAAGGGCTCTGGTTGCAGAGCAGAGGGTTGACTGGAGGAGGAGAGGCCTGTTTGAAGGCTAAAAATTACACAGAGACCCTAATGTAGAACATCTGGCACTTAGCCCTATTCAGACTGAAAAGTTTGTGAAGCCCCAAACTCATTTAGCTGAGATAACTCTTTTTGAAGTCAAGCACCCTCAGAGTCAAGGGAAGGACTGAAGCAGAAAAAATCCGGCAACCCTGGAAAGCGGTAGGTCATTGATGTCCTCTAGGATTCTCTCCACATCTAGTGTATAATAATCTGCCTCATACCCAGAGAAACTAATTGTACTTGTATTTGTGGATATATTGTTATGTGGCTGGTCTCAGGTCACCCAAGAGAAACCTGAATGAAGGGAAGGGAACTAACGTGCTAAGTGTTTCATGTGTTGTCTCTTCTGACCCTCACCCGGGCTTGGGATGTAAGGTATCATTAGATGCGTTTTATTATTATAGAAACTGAGGCTTTGGTCATGGGTTAATTCTGTAACAGGTGATAAGAGGCTTCTAGTCTACGTCCATCATGCTCCAAAGTCTGTGTTCTTTTATTTTTCTCTGGGGATCTGGTATCCTTCTCTTCTTCAGTTTTAGCTTACAAGACACTTACCATTTCCTGCTAACCCATCCAGCCACCCAACCCATGTTCAAGAAAAAAAACTCGAAAGTATGTTTTTATTTCACACACACAAAAATGTGACATGCAATACCCATCCCCTAACAAACTATAAATGCTTGAAATACAGAGTAAAAAGAAAATACTAGTCCTGATAAGACAAAAATTTGATTTCAACAAGCTGAAAAATCCATTACAAAGTCTTTGTTGTATAAATATAGTCAGTCTTATCTTTAATGTAGAGTCAGACAGAAAAAAAAAAGCTTTCTTGGCATAAAAAACTCCCTGGTCCTTGAATACACCACAATCATCATCTGTATTCCCAGCCAAATACAGGTGATGACTACAGGATGAGAGTTACTTATATGTCCTAGGACTCTAAGTAACCAAATGGGATTTAAACATTTTATCTCCTGAGCCACACTCCCTCCACCAACAGCTTGTGCCAACCACCGTAGCCCTGGGTCGAGCGCTTTCTCCCATAGAAAATCGAACATGTGTCTGTTCTAAAATGGATGCACAACTCTGTGAGTATACTAAAAGCCTTTGAATTGTATGTTTTAAATGGGTAAATTGAATGGTGTGTGAATTACACCTCAATAAAGTTGTTAAAAAAAAAAAATCTGACTTGCCCGAGTTGCAAGTAGCTTAACTCAGGAGCTCCTGACAAGGTCCAGGGCAGGCCTGTCAGAGTCAGCACAGTGAAGGGTGGTAGAGAGGAGATCCTTAAGGTATTAGGACTGAACCAGAGGAGTCAGAATAAAGAAGTCAAAGCGGTATTTTTTCCTACTGTTCCCAGAATAATCTAAGGACCTTCTGTGGCTTTTATCACAAAATAAAGTTTTTCAGTGAGAAGGCAGATGCCCAGGTGTTGCCGGGGCTACAGAAGACTTTGGGCTGGGGCTCAGGAGCTACATATCTGCATCTACTGGGGGAGATTCCTACATGGCCACAGGTTCTGAAAGCCTGACTCCCACAAAAGGAGGGATCATTTGAATACCCAAAGGAAACCTTCTAGATTTATTGAACCAAAGGAACTCCTTGCTATCACCAATGTTGTTGATGGCCAGAAGTTGCCACATGGCTCCAGTTCTCACTGGCTCTTATAAGACCATTGCCAGGACAGCAGTGGCTCTTCAGAGGAGCGAACTATTTCTATATCTACCATTTAGTCACCACATGGTCACTGGAGAAGGGGCACAGGCACAAACCACGGGCAACTGGGCTTGACCAGGGCTGGTCATCCCTAGGCTGATAGGGAGGGAGAACTGCCAGTGGTAGAAGGAAGAAGGTAATTTAAAGTCTTGCTCTGGTTTTACCATTCTAGGTACTTAAAGTTCACCAATTATAGTTGGTGTAAAAGTGGGGGAAAGAGGCACAGAGGACACCCACTCTACTCACCTTTTGAGGAAGGAATGTTGCCGGAAATTAGGACCCATGGTCTTTTTAGTTTTTTTAGCACACAAAGGAAATGAAAATTTGAAAAAGGGAAAGAAACGAGCTTGAAAAAGAAATATCCTGGTTAGGTAAATACCTTGTTAAACTCTCCTAGCCTTCCCTCCTAGCCTTCCCTCCTAGCCTTCCCTCTGTGAAGACTGGTCTGATTCTGCCACTGGGGTATAGCCCTGGAATTCAATTCATTTTTTGACCAGCCTAGACATTATTCTGTGGCTGAGCAGGTAAATTAAGCTTGGAAGCAGGCATCAAGGCCACCTCAGTCCCATGCCATTGTGGACTGGATTCCCCAGGATGGCCCCGTTAAAACCTGGCCTCCCTGTGCTCTTTTGAAAGAAGATACCCCTGGCCAAGCCTCTAGGGCTAGGGCACTCAAGGGTGGAGAATTTTCCTCATTTGTAGGGATTTGCTCTCTCTATGGGTAAAAGCCAACAGAGGATAAAACTAGATTTGGAGCTTACCTGGTTCTGGGTTTGGAGCTTTGGGCTTGGAGCTTACCTGGTTCTCTTTATTGTCACAGGGAGAGAGTGGGAGGTGAAAAGAAAATCAAGAGAACAGATCCACCAGGGCTTTGGGCATTTCCTTGATGAACTTTTTCCTTTGGCTTCAGTGAGAATATTTATCACTTACTTAAGAGGAGGGAATGAGGTATCTAGTTTAAAAAACAAAAACCCCTTAGTGCCTCTCTTGTGCTTAGCAAGGCCTTACTCACCTTGCCCTCAGACTACCCATTATCTCAGTTCTAGCTGGCTATCCAGGAGAAGTGAATCCCGGCTACCATGAAGACTGTCCATCAGGGAACCCCGATCCCCCCCCAGCCTCTCTCCCAAAGAGATCATGAGCTGAGGGCATAACGGTCAGCAAACCCCCAGATGTTTCTGCCCTTAAATAAGAGGACAGAGAAAGTAGTTTCTATACTTAGGAGAGAATTCAGAGCTGTAAGAATTTTGGTCAGACAAAGCTATGGCTCTGGCGGATGGGCCATTTTGGGAAACAAAATGCAAGCATGGGAATAATTTACAAATAAAGTGTGTATATTTGGCAGGTTGGAGGCAAGCAGAAAGGAGAGTTTGGGTACTCTATAAAAAAAACCAAATATCTGAAATTCAAAATTCTTCTGATAAGGCCACAATGAAGAGTTTTCCAGCAGTGGGTGTTGCAGGCTGCAGGCACCCAAATCGCCACAAGCTTGCAAGGTGACGTGCCAAGGTGAGGAGGGCGGTGCCTTTCACAGGTCCATGTCTGGGCCTCCTGAGGATGTCTTCAGTGGCACCGAGTCGAATCCATCAGGAGTCCTCTGAAAGAGAGATGGTGACAGGAGCTGGCTGCTGCACAGGGGCAAGTTTGGGGGACAAAGGAGAGAAATGGAAAACAGGTGACAGAAGGAACCCTTATGGAATTCTCGTTTTCAGTGTTTTTTTAGAAACACAGAAATGAGATACCCTCTTATTTTTCTTGCTTCCTTTAGGGTCATTCAGATAATAAAAAAATCTTTAAAATCCCCTGCTTTGCATGCTTTCTGAATTCTAGAAGTCCCAGATCAACTCAAGAGTCCCAGGGTGAACTGTTCTCCCATTGGTTAAAAAAAAAAAAAAAAACATGGTCTAAGAAGGCCATGGGAGTCACCTGGGCAGGTCAGCACAAAGGGAACAAGATTCAGCAATCTAAACACCTAAGCACCATCCTTTCTTCACCACCCCACCTGTACTCTCCTCCCTCTTTCCACCCTCCCCACCCACACCTGTTGGGATGAACTGGTTCAGGGCAGTAGTCAGGTGTGGGTGCTGGCAGAGTGGAGCTGCCAAGGGCTGTAGCCCTGGAGGAGTTGCCTGGATGCTCTCTGCTGGCTCTATGCCCAGTGACAGAGCTGTCTGTATTGCATTTAAGAGCTTCACACTCACTCACCCACCCACACAGAGCCAACCCTCCCAGCTCAGAATTGCTGTGGTGAACAGCTTAGACTTAGCTATGATTCAGTCCCCAAAGGACCAGGCCCAGACACCTGGGGGATAGCACCCTCCACTGGTCAAAGAAGAGCCCCACTTCTATCAGCAGTTGATCCTAAAGATCACCTCTTCCCTCTTCTAAAAAAAAAAAGTGGGGGAGGATGATTCTTATAACTTGGATGGTTCAATACTCCATCTGGAAGTTAAAAGGGCCCAACAGTTCCCCAACTGCAATGCATGTTGGAAGAGAAGGAGCTTGGTCAAGAGCAGCCTTGGGCCCCAGGGGAAAGAGTATCAGCATCGAAATACAGAAGGCAGAAGGCAGGATTTACAGATGGGCAAACAGAATAGCATGGGGAGTGGGGAGCAGAGTCGTGGTCCCTGAGCAGTGCAGGACTGCTCAGTGTCCTGGCAGCAGTGTCTTCTCCGGCCCTTCATGCTGACTTCAGTGCACTGGCCAGGCCCCTTACCTTGGAGGTAAATGATTTGATCTTCCCAAAGAGTGACTTCTTGCTAGTAAAGATGAGGTCATCTTCTACATCCTCGCCTTCCATGATGGCACAGCTGTCAGCTGCTGGCAGGTCACAGTCTTTGAGGGTAGCATTCATCACCAGCTTGGAGTACTTGTACTCTAGTCTATGAAACAGGAGGGTGGGAAAGACAAGACACAAAAATGTGGGAATAAGGGGAAAGAAGGAGAGAGGTTGGGTTATAAACAGACACTACTCCCATGCCATGGGTAAAGAAGTTGTAGCGTAGCAAAGTGGTGTTAGGACTGGTGTATAGAAGGAATCTTAGCTCCCACTCCAGTGATCTTTTCTCCTTAAGGCTATTGTTTCTGTGATCTCAAAGCTTAATAGAATATTGAAATCTAAAGTCATTATTGTACTGTAAATAATAACAACAAATTAAGGATACTCTTTGCTTTTCCTCTGAGAATCTAACAGCCATTTATAGACTGCCACGTGGTACCATCCCTGTTCAGGAGTCAGGATAACCAAGCATACACTGGATAAGTGGCTCAACAAGTCTCTGGCCAGAGTCACAGGGTCTGTGGCCAACTCCAGAGAAAAGCTCTATTAATTCATACTCTCAGATGTTCTCCCTGCTCAATAACCCAACCCTATTTATCCCCAAATTCCAATTGCCCTTCATGTACTTTTGATTCTTTTTCCAGAAGTAGCAGGTCAAGACGGTGAGCAGGATGGCGGTGCAGGTGCCGGCAGAGATGCCCACTTTCAGCCAGAAATCTATCGTTTTGCAGATGGTGACTCTCTGCTCAGGCAGAGAGATGCCACCGGAGCATAGCTTTGGTTCTCGCCACACATAAGTAGTCTTCTGTTGGGGAGAAAAACAAGAAACTCAGATTTCACATTCTCTTTTTTCCCTGGGTGTCCCGAATCAGAGGGAAACCTACCTGAATCCCAGCCACACAGCTGCTGACGATAGCGTGGTAGTCAGCCACTGAGCAGAGTGGGCAAGCGGCCACGGTCTCCCACAGGAAGTGGAAGTTGCAGCCATCACAGGTCCCGTCGGAGCACGAGCTAGCAAAGCAGAAAGGAGGCCTGAGCTCCACTCGCTGGACCAGTGGGGGAGATCCGGTTGGAGGCCTGTTACCTCATGGCTTGCCTGATGCATTCTCTCCCTGCCCTAATCGTTAGCCCTCCCAGGATCCTTCCAGCTAGTCCTTAACACAGGCTCGATCTTTGATCTCCCTGATGATAGGAGGCCTTCCCAGTTTCCACTGGGCTCCCCACCCTCTGCTTGTTTATGCTTTTGCTGACATCAGATGAGAGCTGATGTAAGGTGTCTGAGCTCTAGTGTGGCTGCCCCATCCATCCCTGAGGTTCCCGTCCTGCCGTGGACCTGTGACATTTTGCAATTGCACTTTGACGCAGCATCCTGGGGGTGGGATTGGTGTTGAGGAATGAACTTCAAGTCATGGATATCTGTTATGTTCTTTACTGTGATGGTTACAATGACAAGAACAGTGATTTTACACTTGGACACCACTGCTGGGTCAAGGCGCCCTGCTCTGCTCCCCATCTTCCCAACCAGTCTTTGCGTAGGAGCAGCACTTCCCAGACCATCTGCCTCAAGGCACTAGCGCCCACCAAGATGTTAGTTGGTGTTATATGGGGAAAAAGAGGGTGGTGGTGTCCTGTGGTCATACTGGTTTGGAAATTTTCAATTTAGTACACTCAGCTACTAAACTCAGAATTGGGTCTTTTAGTTGCAGAGAGAGTCTTAGGCTCCCTAAACCTTTACTAATCCTAAAGTCTCATTGGTTTCTTCAATACTCAAAACAACTCCCTGAAGGAACTTATTATGATGCCCATTTTACAGATAAGGAAAAAGAGGCCTAGAGAAGATAAGGAATATATCCATGATAACGTAGGCAATAAATGGAGGAGCTGATTCTAGTCTGGCTCTCAGCCGCTGGCCACCCTGCTGTGCAGCTGCCACCATAATGGTCTGGAAACACGGGGGCAGCTTTGACTCTTCTTCTGCCTCATTCCTGCCATCTGAAGATTGAGAATTTGGGGCCATGACTGTGCCCCTAATAGCCTATTAAGGGGTCTCAAACTCTTTTCCCTTTTGCTCTTTTTCAGTAAGCTCTGGCTCTTGGGATAGAATGAGTCCAAAGAAGGGAGACTGTGGCCTTTGTTACATCCCTTTGTAGGGTTTACCTTGGCAGCGACAGACTTCCCGGGACAGATTTCTGTGGACTGCATCTGACACGGATGGTGGTTGATCTCCCAGAACTGCAGGACTGGGTCACATCATTGGACCTGCAGAGAAAGCCAGCCCCCATGGGGGAACAAGTCAATCCACCATGTTATCAGAGAGCCACTAAGTGCAGCCAACATGGAACGAATCCCTTGCTGGGGAAGTCAGGACTTGGGCTCTAGCCTGACACACAGGGAATGCACAGGCCTTGGTTTACACATAGAGGGTGGGGGTCAGCACGATCTAGTCAAGGAGGAAACGCAATGGTCTAGGAAAGGCACAGCGTACACTGGAGGCTCCTTAGGCTGGAAGGGAAGTCCACTGCAGATCATCCAATATCTCTCTCTGCCTCCAGGCCAGACCTGCCCCCAAAAAGCTGGGATCAGGGAACTCCCAGCCTTTAGCTATCATGGCTAAGCAGATCTGCTAGACTTCAGACATGTCCTGGCTTATAAGCAGCAGGTGGCTAGAGAGGGAGGGGTGTAGCCAAGTTGTGGAGGAGTCCTAGGTTTCACTTGCATTAGCCTGGCCTCTCATCTTCACCTATAAAAGAAGATCACGTCCGGTATTCCCAAGGACTCCGGGTGGAAAAGTTCGGCTGGGGAGGTGATTCCATCCAGAGTCATATCTGTTGTCACCCCTGCCAAATTAGAGCTCCTAATTAGTTCTTCGCTAGCAACCACTTCAATTCTTTCAATACCTTTCAACATCCAACCTCACTTCATCTCATCACATCCCTGAGTGGCTCATGAAAGGATGAACAAAGGTTTGTCAGAGGCCCCAGGGGCACTTGACACCCAGGACGGAATGGAAAACAGGGGTCAGGAGGTTGGGGCCCTCACGGGATGCCTTTTACCCCCAGCCCGGCAGCCTGGCTGTCTCGCGCACACACCACTCACGCAAACAAGGCTGGGGCAGCTGGGTGACTCACCGATAAGTCGGTCAGCGAGGCTCACGGGCTGGGAGGATACCCCAGCCTTGTAGCCTGTCACCTCTGGGGGGATGATGACCGCCTGGCAGACGTAGGCCGAGATGGATTTGGAGAACCCTGACTCACCCTCAGGAATCCGGAGGTCAGTGACATTGTCGGTGCACACGGACATTTTCTTACCCTGGTGGGCGGAAGGGATGTGGGATGTGAGAAAAAAGAAGTGAGAAGTAAATAGTCACAGAGAAATTCCCAGAAGGGAACAGGGAAAGGTTTTTTTCACATCTAAAAATTTCAGCCTTCCAACAGTATGTTGCAGTGGAATGATTCATCCCAAGTGTAATGACAAAACAGATTTAAATGTTTTTAAAAAGCCAAAAGTAAGGCCTGCATGCCCTAGTTTTTGGAACTCTGGCCCAGAGTCCCAGGTTATTTGTTTCCTTGGAGTTTGTTTCATCTGAGAGCCCTCCATAAGCCAGGCTGTGATAGTGGCAACTGATTTAGGCGTCTAACCTACCAGCCCACAGTTAAGGGTACTTCCTTATCCTAATCAGTTTCCTAGACAGAAACTGAAATATATATCTGATCCCAGAAACCAGTGAAAATTTTTTGGAGGCGAGGTCTTACGATGTTGCCCAGGCTTTTCTCAAATGCCTGGCCACGAGTGATCCTCCCACCTCAGCCTCCTGAGTAACTGGGATTATAGGCATGAGCCACCATGCTCAGCAGAAACCAGTGAAATTTATTTGCACATCGGGCCTAGTTCACATCCCTTCTGTTTCTCCCTTGGTGCTGTGATTCTACCATGTTTGTCTCAGAAGCACTTTCCAAAGAATCCCAAGGGTTAAAAAAGACCCCATGACCAGCCCCCTCCCTGCCTTGAGGTAGGACATCTAAGGGAAAAAAAGAACCCATTCCATTTTTTAAAAATGCATATATCAAGAGAAGGAAGTTTGCTTTTCCTCCAGTCTTGAACCCTCACAGTGTAGAAATCCGGGAAATTGAGACTTGAGCTTTTAAAATGGAGGAAATATCGAGATATTGTTCCTTCAATAAAATTCCATTAAATTTACGGAATATCAATGCTTAACTTGTTTGCTAATATAAAATCATTTAGTTAGTATTTTAAATTTAAGTGGACTAAGTATTTAGAACGTAAGATTTTCAATGTTCTAAATTTTATTACAAATGGAGCTAAATCTCATATTTTTTCTGTAAGAACTAGATAAAGAACTTGAGAACAGAAAGAAACATTTACGTTATAATAAAAAAACAGAATTATGTTGTATTTGAGGATCTATAGTGTGGCAGTACACAGTAAGCATTTCTGAAAATAATAAAGGAGCAAAGAAAAAAAAGACATCATCTTCCCAAATTCCCCATCTTACTGAATGAAACGTTTGCAACCTGGGGCTTGCGTTCAACCTTATTTCCTGAGTTATCACTACCTGCTACTTCTGAGGCTTCACCTCTCCAAGGACTTCTAAAAACAAGATGGAGACACCTATCTCTAACCTTTTGTAGATTACTCTCTTTCTTGGTGTGTTCTCTGTATTACCACATATTGGCTTCTTTGCATGCTGCTGAAGGTGGGCAGAAGCTGTGTGATGCACAGGCCTTAACACCACGCAGTCACAGACTAAAAGCTCAAGACACTTTTCTAGGGGACAACATTTGAAATGAACTTTCCAGCTGCTAACTGTGGCTTGTCTGCAGCTTAGCCAAGCGTGGTAGGGGTGGGATTGTGCTTTACATTTCTGCCTTTGAATTTTGGATCGACAGTATTTGCAGCAACATGAAATGGCTGATGGTGACAGTCTTTCCTTATCTTAGAAAGTCTTTCACGTTACTTTCTTTTGTACTGTCAGCAAAGACACATGTAGGTGAACTAAACATAGTTGATTTTATCTTACGTTCTAAATACTTAGTCCACTTAAATTTAAAATACTAACTAAATGATTTTATATTAGCAAACAAGTTAAGCATTGATATTCCGTAAATTTAATGGAATTTTATTGAAGGAACAATATCTCGATATTTCCTCCATTTTAAAAGCTCAAGTCTCAATCCTCTAGAAAACAAGTGACAAATGCAGTGATTGCTAAAGACTGCTTCTTTAAGGGGGAGAAGGAAATCTTCCCGCATATTTTTTTTTATATACCCATTTGGAGGGAATAAAGGTCAGGTGAGAGTAAATGAACATCCTATTTTAAACATTTTTATTTTTCTGCATCCTCAGGGAGATTTATAATCATTTAAAACTCTTTTAACCTCTTCAATCCTCTGCTGCCTGAAGGATTTCTAGTTCTCTCCTGTGTCCGTCCCTGGCCTTCGATCCACTGGCTTCCCTCCTTGCTTCTCTCACCGTCAGCTTACAAACCTCACCTGGTTTCCGCAGAGACTGAAGGTAAAGTGATGGAAATATTTCAGCCCTTTAGAAGTGAAGCTTGACCCTCCAGCCAGAGTGACAGTGTTTGCCAAAGCGGAGAAGTTGTAGTTGAAAGTCCTGGATGGGGTGTTGCGTGTGAAGGTGCAGTCGTTGAAGCACAGAGAATGGATCTGCAGGGGAGACAGGTCCGGCCAGTTGGGTTCCTCCAGCCCAAATTGGGGTGAAAGAGGAGGAAGATAGGATTGGGGATGGGCATGAAAAGCAGTGAAGCTGGCACCAGTGGGATTTATGTACATCTTGCCATTCAATTATTAGCACATATATGATCTGCAACCCCAAACCTGTTATTTTCCAGTAGGTAGTTTGGTCAAATTCTATAGCCTTGTCCCTGTGCCTAGATTATAGGACCCTCTCGAGACATAACCCTTCTTCCTTCCAAGTGGAAGACAATGGGGTACTAACCAGAAGAAGGGTGCCCAGGATGGCAGAAGAGAAACTACGGGTCTTTCTCCCTCACCCCATGAACAGTGCTCCCTCTTTCTCAGGTCCTCTGCGGAAAACTGAACTCCAAAAGGGGTTTTACTTTTCATAAACCCATTCCTCGCCCTGTTTTAGGGTCCCCATTCAGCAGCAGCCTTATACACTGCCATTCCCCCCCATCGCGGCAGGGGGCGCTCCAGGGGAAGAAGGTTGTGGCAAAAGTCCAGGGCGCCCAAAAGAGGTCGCCAGGGATCTGCAGAATCCTCGCACTTGTTGCAGCGCTGAACTGAGCCACGTTTGCAGAGCACATATAAATAAAGCCTGACGTTCTTTCTACTCAGACTCCAGTCGGTTGAAAAAATATATATAAAAAAAGAAAAAGATAAAAATAAATAAAGCCTTACAGAGATGTACGTGCGTATGGTTGAGACCAGTATAATGAAAGTCCATTTAAAATCATCAATGAATATCTAAGAGCTTTTAGTCATATGTACTTTCTTAGATGTAGAAAGTGTATGGGGGCAACAGTACTGTTTTTCCACTTTAGAAAGGAATCTTTGTACCTGTCAACCTGAGAAACCACTGGGATAGAAGACGGCAATGCCAATTAACCATGTGTCCCAGCAGAAGTTGGGCTACTGTCCCAAAGAAGAGGCAGCAAATTGCCACGAGAACAGGCTGGATTGGACTAGGCTGAATTTGAGCCACAGACTCTATTATTCCCTCCCTTCAGGTCTCTGCACAGCTGCCAAATAACCTTCTGGGCCAGACAGTCACCAATTTCTCTTACCCATCAACTGAAGATGGGACTAGTCCGTGACTGAGTCCTGGACCCTGGAAATGAAGTCTAACTGCTAAGATCTCACCGCCCACAGTCACGACCTGGGAGTATGCCAGGGGATCAGCTTGGGGTTCAGCCCTCAGGCCCCACCCAAGACCCAGCACCTTCTGAAGCCCTCCAGCCAGAGGGACAAGTTTAGGATGCATGACAGACTGCTGGCACCTTGTTGCTCTTGGTCCCTGGACCACAGGGCACGCAGGCCTGGACACCATAAGGCTGGTGGGCTTTCAGGATTGTGTTAGGGGGGCAGGACTGGCAGATTCCTGAATCTCGGTCAATGTAGTAACCAGCAGGACAAGAAGTGCAGGAGGAGCCCGTGTCAGAGGCTTCTAGGGCACAGGGACGGCAGTAGGAGGCCACCCCATCCATGACATTGGTGATGTTGATAGAGTAGATCTTGGCAACATCATTGGTATACTTCCTGCCCTGGAGACAAGGAAACAAGAGGGAAGAAGGTGAAGGCCTAGACGGCAGCAACAATGGAGACCTCTGGAAATAGTAAACTATTTGTTTCTTTCTTTTTTTTTTCTTTTGAGAGATAGAGTCTTACTGTGTTGCCCAGGCTGGGGTTCAGTTGCTATTCACAGGCACAATCATAGCACACTACAGCCTCAAACTCCTGGCCTCAAGCAATCCTCCCACTTCAGTCTCCCAAGCAAAGTACTTCTTAATCTTTTATCCTATGATACTCCAGAAAAATCTTAGAAGCATGCTATTCTTTTTACTCACTTAACAGTGACTCTTTAGGTAAATTTTGTGTCATTTTAAAACAAGATTGAACCATTTTAAATGATATATAAAAATATTGAGTACTATGAGGGAAGTATGCAGTAGATACTGTTATATGGAAAAAGCAAGTCTTTGTAAAAGAAAAAAAAGTATTTGTAGAGAAACAAAGACTATATAAGAGATACTCTAGATGTTATTTGGGTTATTTCTGGGTAGTAGGATTATGGCTGACTTTATTTCTTCTTTTTGCTTATTTCTTTTCTCTAAGTTTTCTGCAATGAACCTGTATTACTTTGAGCTAAGAAAATAAAACCCAGCCAGTCACGGTGGCTCATGCCTGTAATCCTAGCACTCTGTGAGGCTGAGGTGTAAGGATTGCTTGAGATCAGGAGCTTTGAGACCAGCTTGAGCAAAAGCAAGACCCTGTTTTTACCAAAAATAGAAAAAATTAACCAGGCATGGTAGCAAGCACCTGTAGTCCCAGCTACTCGGGAGGCTGAGGCAGGAGGATGGCTTGAGCCCAAGAGTTTGAGGTTGCTGTGAGCTATGATAACCCCACTGGGGCAACAGAGTGAGACTCTATCTCAAAAAACAGAAAAGGCACTACAAGGAGAGATAAGTCACTTAAGGTGCCTACATTGGCATCTTCCCAGGAAGTCACTGGCTAAGGCTAGGTGATCCTCAGAAGGCTGGCTAGACACTTCCCTGTTTGACTCCTTGAGATCCTTCTAACCCTTGGATTCTGAACCTCAGAACTTAGGCTAATGCCAGGCACGCTCCTGGGTCCAGAGGGTCTCTTTTGGGAGACAGAGGTCTGAGGAAAGGAGAGGAACTTACTGCCTCATGAAAAGTGGTCCTCTGGAAGGCCCAGGTGAAGCTCATGGTGGCGTTCTCCTCGATGGTGTAGGTATAGGACTGCTTGCCTTTGGAACCTTTCCACGTCTCCACGGGAGTGTTGGTCCTAGAATTCATGCCCTGAACCCAGGACAGACAAGTGAAGAAAGTGCGAAAGTGGGTGCCCATACTGCTGCCATCCCAGGGCCATCACAGGTGGTCAGACCCTTGTTAAACTGTGAAGTCCCTGATGGTCAGTCTGGGCCCTTCCTCTGTGGCATTGCTACGAGTGGGTGCCAGTTATATTGAGGCAGCAGTGGGGCAGATGGAGCCAAGCCTCGCCCGGAAGCCCCGTAGCAGGCAAAGAAAGAAAAACGTACCACCATGAAGTAGAGCTCACAGTTCACAGAACAGATGGTCTCAAAGACAAATGTGATTCTGGCCACCTCTTTATTCTCTGTGTCTGCCATCACCGACTCTGGAGGTCTGTGGGGGCAGAAATTAAAAGTCAGTACCAGAGGCCAGGCAGTGCTTATTGAAGAGCCCGGACAGCTGCAAAGGGTATTCTCGGGGATGGGATTAGGTTCTGAGTACCCTGGAAAGAGTGTGGACTAAGTCCAATTCTGTTCCCCTAGCTATGCGACCTTGACCTAGCCAAGCCGTAGTTTCCTCATTTGTAAAACGCAGGCAATAATATATCTTTCTTACCAACCTCCCCTCCTTGTGGTGAGATCCAAAGGCATGACAGATGTGGAAGTGCTTTAAAAAATGCTATATAACCTCAGCTAGCCGCAGTGTGTGCGCCTGTGGTCCCAGCTACTTAGGAAGCTAAGGCAGGAGAATCACTTGAGTCAGAAGTTCAAGATCACCCTAAGGCAACATAGTGAGACCTCATTTCATCTCAAAAAAATTCTATATAGCCTCACTATAGCAGGGTATGGCCTGAAGACCAGCAGCATGGCCATCTTCAGGAGTTTATTAGAATTGCAGAACTTCAGGCTCCTCCCCAGACCCAATGAATCAGAATCTGCACGTGGACACAATTCCCAAGTGATTCATATGTTTTAAGTTTGACAAGCACTGCTATCATGAGATGTAATTTGTCTACATTTACTCAGCAGCTCACTCTCCAGAATAATGAGAGCTTTGACTGGATCAAGTAAGCAGAATCTCTGGTGTCTTCAGCAGGTTCTCAGGTCACTCCTACTTTTGAGAAAGAGTGAGCCATGCCCAAGTGGGCTGCAGGGTGGGGGAGTGAGGCAGCACTCTACTACGGTAATCAGATTTGCAAACTGAGAAGTGCCTTTTGAATGTTACTCAAAAAAAGCCTAAAAAATTTGCTCACCTTGCAAACACAGGATATATCTGGTCAGCTATTGGTAATGTGGGTTAAGGAAAGGGAAATTGAGCACCATCCTGGGGGTGGAATGCAGAGACCTCAGGGGAGGGAATGGGTGAAGTCAAACTGGCAATAGAGAAGCCTGTTCAGTGCTTCCCACTCATCTTCAAAGCACATATGAGCAGAACAGTTCACTTTGGCTTTGGAAATCATTTATGGCTTTTTTTTTTTTTTTTTTTTTGAGACAGAGACTCACTCTGTTGCCCAAGCTAGAGTACCGTGGCATCAGCCTAGCTCACAGAAACCTCAAACTCCTGGGCTCAAGCAATCCTGCTGCCTCAGCCTCCGTAGTAGCTGGGCCTACAGGCATTCGCCACCACGCCCGGCCTAGTTTTTGTATATATTTTTAGTTGGCCAATTAATTTATTTCTATTTTTAGTAGAGACGGGGTCTTGCTGTTGCTCAGGCTGGTTTCGAACTCCTGACCTCGAACAACCGGCCCACCTCGGCCTCCCGGCCTCCCAGAGTGCTAGGATTACAGGTGTGAGCCACCGCACCCAGCCTATGGCTTTTCTTTGGCTTTAGTCATTTGCTTGAATTCTGAAGCCCTACAGTTCTCACCTCCTCTCTACACAGTTGTGCTAACCAATGAACTGAAAGAATCATCTCAGCCTCAGCTAGTCCCAAATCACAGATTTGTTTTATAGACAAGGGGCCTGAAGCCTGTACAGGCAAAGTGACTTTCCAAGTTCACAAAGCCAGTAAGTGGCAAAGCTCAAGTGCCTGTCTTTCAGTCCAGTGTACTTTTCCACCGTAGCAGACTGCCAGGAGTAACTTTATTTTTAAGTAGCAAATTACTTGTTGCCCTAGGTCTTCTTGGGATATGGGGGACAAAATGACAATAAGAACAATCCCTCTCAATCTTCTTGCCCCAAATAAACACTTCTGGCCCTATTTTTAAAAGTTTTTTTTTTTGTTTTGTTTTAATCTTCTCTGATGCTGTGAGGAGGAAGAATTTGAGTAGTACGTGGCCAGTCGAGAGGATGAGAGAGCCTGTGCAGCACTGAGAAAATGCACTGGCATTCGCTCCAACTTGGCCAAACTATTACTGTGCCCTCTGCTCTGAACTGACAGTGAAATGGAATTCAGCCCCCGAAGCCCTCTCCTCTACAACATTCTGGAGTACATGGGATCTGGGTGTGGCCAAGGTGGCTTGGACTTCCCCTTGGCCTTGCAGTCCTCACCTATATCCTGGCACAACCAGAGTGAGAATCATGAAGTCATTGTCTGAGGCTCCAACAGCTGTATAAATGTAATCACCAGCCACCTCCCAGCCTGGAAAAGGAGAGGGGAGAGTTAACACCCTGGTGCTCTTGGGTGCAGGGCAAACGTGCAACCAGATGACACCCTGGAAGGGAGATATGGCACCATCCTTTGGGGCACCCTGAACCGCCACTGAACACAAACCACATTACTTATCCTGCTACTTTGGTCAGAGATTCTGAAACTCTCAGAGCAAGACCTTCAGGGTGCATGCTCATTGTTTCTAGCTCTGATCTTGCATCAGAAACTAAGTTTTGGCAGAATATATGTCCATGAAGAGTGGAACTTCCAAGGGAATACATGACATAATTAGCTTATTTTTCTCAGACACCACTACTATGAAGAAAGGTGAAGTTGGAAGAACTGTCAGAGTGCAGAGAGCGGACAGCTCATGGTAGGGTGAGAGGGCGTTACCTGTCATGCCCTTGTACTCAAAGTTGATCCCACTGAGAACAGTCGTTTCCATGTTCGTGGGCAGTGTGTTCCACCATTTGTATTCAAATCCCACCGCGGGTTCAGTCCCAGCTGGGCAGTGGGTACAATCTGGGGAAGCACAGGTCCATGCATTCAGCAGGAAGGCTGTTAACTGCCAGCCAGCCCAAGCAGGGTGGTCACTGAGTGCTGTTGCACAAAGTTCTATCAAGCTGACTCAAAAACATTCTGGCAGTGTATTTAACTAATGCATGAGGTAAACACTGAGCCTTCATTCCAATATGCCAACCATCCTACTTGCCCCCCAAAATTTTCATTTCAAAACTTAAATGTATCTTCTAGTCTAATACGTGTAGTTCATATTATTGTCACATTACCATTGACAGATACAAAAATCCACCCCCCCCCAAGGTGGCATAGCCTCTAGATTCCGATTGTGTCAAGCTGGTCATCCCAGTCCCTTAAACCTCCTAGACAGCATCTCCGCCACGTGCTGCAAGCCTCTCTTGTGAGGACCGGGTACCTTCAGGCCTGAGTCACATTCGCAGTTGGAAAGAGGAGGCAGGAGAGCGAAGTCTGACTCTGACCTACAGACAGACCATCTCTCCGCCTGAACCCAGTCCTCAGAGATGGCCTGGTCCTCCCTGCCTCCCATGGAAGGGCAGAGTCTGCATTCCACCGGCCACTCTGAGTGCCCACACGGCCCAGCCCGTGGTTGATGTGGGGGTGACAGTGACAGGGCGGCGAAGAGGTTACCGGAGCCGTTGGAGTAGGAGCCGTACGGGCAGGGCTCGCAGGTGCTGTTGTTGGTTTTGAAGAAGCCCGGGTTGCAGGGTGGGCAGCGGGTCTTCATGCCAGAGGCAGGTAGTTTCACTGCCCCCTCAAGGTCCTCGCCACAGATTTTTGGCTTGGCCCATTTGTACATGAGCTGCGTCTGCAGGAAACGGATTAAGCACGGCTCAGCCTGTGTGGCGTTTAGCCTGTCTTCAGGACTCTAACTTGTGGATGGGGGTTGAGGGTTGGAGGTGGGATTCTGGGCCAGACGAGAGCTCCACCAGGGTGGGGAACTTGGTGTTGGTCACTGATGTATCCCAAGCACCTTACCCAGTGCCCGGCACACGGTTGTGCTCCAAAACTACCTGTCACGTGGTGTTGCCTGGATGAAGAGGAATACACCTAATGAGGACTTGGTGATAGAGGGGATGGGGGCAATTGTCTTCAGAGAAAGCTCTGGTGCCAGTGTAGAATCTCATTACTACTAAGATCACAGGAAAAGCAGCTGGTGAAAATGGCAGAACACAAAAAGGCACACAATGGAGGTGGCTTACATAACTCCCGGGGAAAGAGGAGGCGTCTGAGATGTCCCAATTTGTTTTCCAAGTGGTATGTTCTTTGCTTTTTCATTTATTCAGTAAGCATTTATAGAAAGCCTAATATGTCTATGTGCCAGACCAGACCTGGTGTCTCAGAGACGAATGAGACATGCCTCCTGCACTGGTACAGAAGGGGACCCCTGGTGAGTCAGGGGTGAAGTGGGACAGCTCTAGTCTTCCCATATGGCCCTCAGACCGAGTCAGAGGCAAAAAGATGCCCTTATGGATTGCACTGAGGGGTTATGAAAACCATCTGTGCAGCGTGCCATAGATGTGAAAGGAAGAATGCATAAGGCTTCTGTCCATTTTATTCAGGATTGGAAATGAGAAGCTCTTAAGGAGGGACCCACACTTTCTCCTCTGCCTGCTCAGCTCAGCCCTCCTCCCTGTGAAGAGCAGCCAATGGAGAGCCCTGGGCTTGCATGTTAACCCTACCCTGCCCACCTGTCTCCCGGGAGTCTCAGGGCAAGGAGGGTATCGGGAGTGGGGAAACTGACTTGGGCCCTCTCCTGGAGAGGCACATTCAGCAAGCCCAGTGGATTGGCCGTCTTTGTCCCTGAGAAACCACTAAGGCACAGCAAAGATCAGAAGGGCCATCACAGGAGCCAGCCTGAGATGTGTCCGTTCATTTTAAAACATGGTTTAGAGACAAACTGAAATCACCAGACTGAGCAGAACCTGTGTGGGTGCGAGGCACAGGGCAGGAGACTTCTGTAAGGCGCTGCAGGTGAATGCATATTCACGTGCACTCCTCACACGTGTGCGCCAGCTCTCCCCTGAGCTGGGCTTTGGCTGTGCTGCAAGGCAGGCACACGGCCTCTGGCTTGACCCAGCCCCCCCAGGACCCGGAGTGGTAAGTCAGGCCAAGGCAGAGGCCCAGGCTGGCAGGCGGCAGAGCACACCACAGATCTAGAAGGCCTCGGTCTGTGCCTGGTAGGTAAGAGAGTGGGACAGAAGGGAGGAAAGACACTCACATTTGCTCACATAAGAAGAAGAGCGAGAAGAAGAGCAGAATTAGTTGTCCCTGTTTTATTAGTGAGTCAACTGAGACCAAGAAAATGAAAATAATTTTTGCAAGGTCATACAGAGCACGGGACACTATGGGACTGAGTCTAAGATGCAACTGACAAGACACGCAGCCATTCTCTCTTTGCTGGGGAAGGGGATGAAACTCCAAACATAGGGAGGGAGGTGGTGGTGGTGGTAGTCAGAGATAACGATGAACAATAACCAGACTTTATTCCATGCTCAATTAGCAAAGGGATAATTCAGCCAGCCGTCCAGCCAGCAAACGTGTATGCATCCTAATAGCCAAGCATCATGCTTAGTGCTGAATGCAGAATCCCCGCCTCCTAATGCTTTCTCCTTGAGAGGCTCCGGTTTAGGGATACAGACAGTTCATCCAGAGTGTCTAACCTGAGTCAGACCCCTCTGCCTGTGCCCTCGAGCCCAGCCCGGCTCACCGCTGCTCCTTGAACTCGCCAGGCACACAGCTGCCTCCTCTGCTCCTGCCGTGCCCTCTGCCTGCAGGGCTCCACGCCTCCTCCCTCATCTCATTAGGGTCTCTGCTCAAATGCCCCCTCCTCAGAGAGGCCACCCCTGTATTTTCTAAAATAGCATCCCCATCTTCTGTCATTCCCTATGTCCTTACCCTGTTCTATTGTTTTCCTTCCTACTACTTGTTACCATTTGATACATTACACACCCATTTGTTGTCTGCTATCTCCTGCACTCCCTCCTCAACAAGAACTAAGCTCCCTAGGAGCTAGGTGTTCCCTTGGTTTTGTTAATTGACGGGTACTCAGTACCTTGCACAGTGCAGAACAGGGCAGCACAGAGTAGCACAGAGTAGCTGCTTGATAAGCATTTGTTGACTGCTGAAATGAACAAGTGGCCTCCTCCAAGAGGCCTTCTCTGGGCCCCAGTCCTGGTCGCTCCCCGTCTGCGCTTCCCCAGTGCCCTCTACACCTCTCTGGTTGCCTCACTCAGGCTCATCTTGCTCCTCCCAGCCGGGACTGTGGCTGTCCCAGTCATCTCTGACTCCCCCGCCTGCAGGGCAACACCTGACACGCCAGTCAGCACTCGAGGGCCCTGGCCGGCTCAGTGGCAATGCAGACGACCAGGGAAAGCTCTTTCCTGGCCATTCTCCACTGAGCCAGCTAGGAGGAACGAAGTCCCCTTGGCAACCTGGGGAAGCAGCGCTGACCAGACAAGTCTGACAAGCTGCATGAGGAAGTAAAAGTGCACGGAGAGGCAGGCACTGCCCAGAGCGGCTAAACAAATGGGAGAAACCAAGTGAAAGAAAATGAAATGTTTTTTTTTTTTCTTTTAAACAGAGCACATGTGAATAGCAGTGAAACAAATGTGGCAGAAACAGTTTCTGACCTGAAAATGAATGAAGCCGCCTCGTTCTGCCCCCCGACTATCCCTGGGCTCACCTCGAAGGTCTGTGGGGTTTTGTGTGATGGCAGCTTCGTTGACTGCTGAGAAGTAGCAAAGCCCGGGGGTGGCGGGAGAAAGTTCTCTCAGGGCAAAGGGGCTCCGGGACTGTTGTTACCCACCTCTCCGTTGGCATCGCAGGCTGTGTGTGTGTAGAAATAATCTTTGTCGGTGCAGGCTGGGCGCACTTTGCAGGAGGAGGATCCTTTTTCTAAATTGCCGAAGCAAGAAAAAACATATTTGAAGTTGCATAAGAAAGCCGAGCTCTAGACCACTTGCTCATGATTGTGACTCCCAAGCCCCCAGGGTACATCACCACAGGCCCACCCTTCCCCTTGCCCCAGTAGTGTCCTTTCCAGCTCCCAAAGCCCTGCTCAGATATTCTTTGGCACCTCTCCCAGGCTTCTCACTGGCACCACACCGTGGGACAGGGTATGGAGCAGTGGCCTGGCCAAAGGACCAGTGGGGAGGGGTGGAAGTGCAAACAGCATCTTGCTGGTGAGCCACCACCAACCCAAGTCCCTAGAGACCTGCCATCTTCCAGTGCCTTCGTGTCCTGACTGCAGGTGTGGTTTTGCTACCCCTGAAGGGTTGAAGTAAAACAGTAAAGCTTAAGTAATTTAAGTAAAGAAAGTAAGAAAGTAAGCTTTCATACTCTTATTCCAAGCCTTTCTCTGACTTTTCTCTTAATATATGCCTCACATGAAGGTCTTGTATTTTTTAAATTTCCCCTTCTTCGTGCAACCAGCCTACACAAGAAACTTGTCATTTCTCTGCACTCCTCTTAAGATCTAAGAGTCTTCCCACCTGCCTCAACCCAAGCATCCAACATTATCTTTAACCCTTGACCTTTGCCTAATGAAAACTGCTCGCTTTCGGTTTTATCCTGCTCTGTGTGGTCTCCTATGTCTGTTAGTTCTACTTTAACCTGGAGAGCCTCTGGATAACAAGAACTATTTCAATGAATCCCTCTTTAAAGCAGTGGATTTCACCTCTTTTGAATTTAGAAACTCTTTTGAAAAATTGAAGAAAGATGTATCATCCATGCAAATAAAAATTTAAAAAGTTTTCCAGGGAACTGACCTTCTCCAGAATAAAAACCACTGCTTTATAGAGTGCACATGACCACACTGCTACTACTACTACTGCCACCAAGACCTCTAATACTACTGTGTCACTTGCAGGTAAGCATTTAATAATGCTTTCTCTCTCTCTCTCTCTCTCTCTCTCTCTCTCTCTCTCTCTCTCTATATATATATATATATATATATATATATATATATATGTATATATTACCTGGCAGGCAGTATGGTTAGTGGAATGAGATTTTAAGCTGGGTTTGGATTTTAAGTCTGGGTTTGGATGCTGCTTCATTATTTAGCAGCTGTGTCACTTTAGGCAAGTTACTCAAGCTCTCTGAGCCTCCGCCTTCTCATCTATAGAGCAGGAATAATAAGATCTACCTCACTGGAGCCAGCACATACCTGGCACATTATAAGTAGATACTCACTAAATAGCAGTAACTATTAATTCTATGCATGTTTGGGGATTATTTTTATTTGAGAACTATCATAGGAGATTTAATAAGGATTAAAAGTCTGTTTCCCTCCTTTCCAATTAAGGGCTTATTTCTCGGTGGATCCCTTCTTTTCCCCAAGGCACCACGGGAGTTCCTAGATCAGATACTCTCCTAATTACAGCCTTGGTGGCCTGCGCTGGGAAGTCCCCTCAGCTGCACATCTCCACGCCTCTTCTGTTCCTGTCTTATTAGGCCGGGCAAGAGGGAATGACTGGCTGAGAAACAGCTGGGGTCTTCTCAGCTCATTTCCTTTGCTAACAAGCAGAAAGCCCAATTCAGCAGAGAGGGATCCAGGGACTCCTGCTCTGGACTGCCTCGGCCAGGAGAAATTTGGGTAGAGATGCCGAAAACGTGCCAATTCCCAGGACCTTGTACAAAGGTACAAGTGTTGTGTTAGAACAACAAAGTACAAGTGTTGTGTTAGAAAATGCATGCCATGCAAACCCCTTTCTCTGCTTGTCAAATATTTGCTCAGCCTGACACCCTAACTCCAGGTTTTAGCAAAAATGGTCCGACTGTTTACACTCTGACCACTGTTAAGGTGGTTTTAATAAATGATTAACCAAAATGCTGAGACAGACCTCATTTTCCTAGCTCAGGTTTCATCGAGGTGTTTAAGTTGGACACTAGTCAAATTTGAAAGATCAGCCTAAATGTTTGGTTGAGGGAGTGAAAAGTGATTTGAATGGGACTGGCCCTGAGCAAAACTGTAAGAAGATAAAATTTATCTCAGGGACTCCAGCTCCTTTTTCTGCAACTCCCTCCTTTCAGTGTTTTATCCTCACCTCGAGGAGTACAATGTTCTCACTAGAACCCCTTTTATCAAAGGAAAACGTTTCCCCTGAGAGATTAAGTACCTAATGACACAAGGCCCAACTCAGACACCAGTTCAGACTCTCCGCAAACTCCTTAACATTTCTGAGTTTCTCTTTATTCATCTGTAAATGGTAAAATCACTCCTGTACTATAAGAACTAAATGAGAAATAATGTTTTGTCATTTGGAAAGTGCTATACAAGGGACTTATTGCAGTTGTAATCTCTACCAAGAGTATTTTCATATTAAAATAGGGGTGTTGGCCCAGGCACGGTGGCTCACGCCTATAATCCTAGCACTCTGGGAGGCCGAGGCAGGTGGATCATTTGAGCTCAGGAGTTCAAGACCAGCCTGAGCAAGAGTGAGACCCCATCTTTACTAAAAATAGAAAGAAGTTGACTGGACAACTAAAAATATATAGAAAAAAATTATCCAGGCATGGTGGTGCATGCCTGTAGTCCCAGCTACTCTGGAGGCTGAGGCAGGAGGATCTTTTGAGCCCAGGAATTTGAGGTTTCTGTGAGCGAGGCTGACGCCAGGGTACTCTAGCTCAGACAACAGAATGAGACTCTGATTCAAAATAAAATAAAATAAAATAAAATAAAATAAAATAAAATAAAATAGGGGTGTTGAGACAGGCCTTAATGTAAATAAATTAATAAAATTAGTGCTTACTATGTGCAGACCCCTTTCTCAATCCTCTACCTGTATTTATCAATCCTCACAATCATGCTATGAGGCAGATATGATAATTGTCATTCCCATTTTATAGATGAAGAAACAGAGGCACAATTTGCACAGCTACTTGGCACAGCTACTAAGTGGTAGAACAGGGATTTGAACCCTAGTAATTTAGCTCTGGAGCCCACACTCTTAAATTCCACGCTATTCTATTAAGAAATGGATTGCTAATATAAACACAGCACAAAGAAATTAATCCTAATGATCAAATTTTAGGTACCAATGAGAAAGGTGCTTTTTGCCAACCTTTTGTCTTTAACATCTCTCCCGTGAGTTCTCTAGTCTCCACCTGCATTAGCTCCCGCTTAGTTTAGGTCCTGGACACCAGCGGCGGTGCCCGCTGCAACATCTCCCAACTGTGGCCTCTGCCTCCAGCCATTCCCTCCCTCCTCCGTGTGGCAGCCAGAGCGGTGTTTCAGAAGCACCAGCCAGACTGATCATGTCACTCTCCAGTTTGAAATTCTTTAATGGCCTCCACTGCTGATGGGTTCCAATCTCAATTTGTTTTCACAATAGCACAGAAGTGCTGCTCCGTAATCTGTTCCCTGCCTGCTCCTGGCCTTGGATGCTACTTCTCTCCACCTAATCTCCAGCCAAAGTGAATTACTCGCAGTTCCCTAAGCTTCTGGCCTTGGCTCACGCTTCTCCTGTCCCCAAAGTCCTGTCCCCATGAAATCAGCCATTCATCTTTCAAGATTCAGCTCATCTTTCAAGACCTCAGCTGGCGAAGCTTTTCCTCCTTTCCTAGAGAGGATCAGGCACTTCCTTTTTTTTTTTTTCCACTTCCATTCATGCTACACCCTGCACTCCTATCCCAACACCTACTGCATCATGGAGAGTTACTGCACCTAGGTGTTTACATAGCCACTTTTTGACATAAAGTGAAGTGAACCAGCTCTAACCCTAGCACCAAGTGCAGTCCTTGGCGCCTGGCAGGCAGTCAGAATATATTAGTATAATAAGTGGATGGGTCTTCTCTCACTCCCTTCATGCAGATTCCGTCATAGGCTGTCATCAGACTCTGCATTTTGCCAGCCTCCCACTGCCCCTGCATTCTGGAAGAGGCAAGTCTCAAAGAAATGTGACTCTCTTTATGCCCCAAGCTGGTGAGGTAGTCAATAAGTTGACCATGTTCTTTATGTTAATAGTAAAAGCTCACTTCTTAGTCTAAGAGACAGATTGAGAAATCAGTGGCAGGCCGGGCATGGTGGCTCACGTCTGTAATTCTAGCACTCTCGGAGGCCAAAAGGGAGGATCACTTGAGGTCAGAAGTTCAAGACCAGCCTGAGCAAGACTGAGATCCCATCTCTACTAAAAATAGAAAAACGAGCCAGGTGTGGTGGCACATGCCTGTTCCCAGCTATTTGGGAGGTCAAGGCAGGAGGATCTCTTGAACCCAGGAGTTTGAGGTTGCTGTGAGCTAGGCTGATGCCATGGCACTCTAGCCTGGGCAACAGAGTGAGACTCTGTCTCAAAAAAAAAAAAAAAAAAGAGAAATCCGTGGCAGAAAAGGAACAGACTCAGAGAATTCAGACTCCCAACCTAACACTTTCATAACCACTCTCTGGATAAAAATTAGTTGCATAGAATTGATTGAAACACACCTAGGCAGTTTTTCTAGAACCACCTTGCCATCCAAACCCTTGCGCAACTGCTGGGCTGGAAAGGGAGCCAGAGACTTCGACTAACAAAGGCTGCTGTTGATAGAGGTAGAGCAGGGAAGAGGAATAAGAAATTGAAGTGGAAGAACAGGAATTTAGCCCTATAGATTAAAAACTTCCTCCAAGATCTAAACATTACCGTTCCAACTGAAAATTATACTCATTTGGCAAGATCTGTGTAGATAAATGGGACTTTTGTTTTAGGAATTGTGTAGAAATAAGCAATTCCCAGGTGGATGGCTGGCCTTGGCTGAGCAAACACATACTGTAACACCTATATGAGGTGGGCGTGTGTCCATATGGGGACATGGGGGTCTGCTTGAGAAGGGGCCTTGTGCTGGGTTTATACAAGGTTCTGTGTGAGAAGGGAAAAATAGAATAGTTATGAGTGTTTCCGGGAGAAAAGAGCGAACTGTTGTTTCTCTCTCCCTTTTTGTCTGTTTCAGAACCTGCCTTGGAGGCTGACCTCCATGCAACTGCCTGAGCAAAGGGTGTCTGGTGGTATTGCCTGCCTCACACCAGAGCCTTGACGCCCCCTGAGAACCCCTTAAAGCACCAAGCCATGTTTCTCAAGTTGGGATGCTTTAGGAAGCTATCCAAGAACTGTAGATATAGGCTACTTCCGGCTGTCCCCTCCCTGTCCCTTAGAGTAGTGGTTTTCCCAAAATGCCTGCTTTGAATTCAATAGATGCTGAGGCTGATCCAAGATTGTAACTTCTGTGTTTAGTCCTTGTTATCAAAATGTTTGTGCTCATCAATGCAACCTCATTGTTGTTATAAACTAACTTGACAATAATTACTATAAATTAAAATATATAAATTTATACCTCTTTTGTCTACTGTATCTATTGTTTATAATTATAACCTTATATAAGGTTTCTTTCTTTCTTTTTTTTTTTTTTTGAGACAGAGTCTCACTCTGTTGCCCTGGCTAGAATGCCATGGCGTCGTCAGCCTAACTCACAGCAACCTCAAACTCCTGGGCTCAAGCGATCCTCTTGCCTCAGCCTCCCAAGTAGCTGGGACTACAGGCATGTGCCACCATGCCTGGCTAATTTTTTTTTTCTATATATATTTTTAGTTGTCCAATTAATTTCTTTCTATTTTTAGTAGAGAAGGGGTCTCGCTCTTGCTCAAGCTGGTTTTGAACTCCTGACCTTGAGCGAATCGCCCGCCTCAGTCTCCCAGAGTGCTAGGATTACAGGCATGAGCCACCGCGCCCGGCCAAGGTTTCATTTTTAAAGAACACTTCACTGCCTAAAAAAAAGACTGCAATTTCTTTTGCTAGCTTTCCTAAACCCTTTAACTCTGAGTTGATTTTCTTTTTGTCATGGTACCATGGCACTTTTTACCATCTAATGTACTATATAATTTATTAAATATGTATCATTTATTTCTTGTAATTTCTTTTTTTCCTTTTATTTTTTAGAGATAGGTTTTCACTCTGTCACCCAGGCTGGTGTGCAGTGTCACAATCATAGCTCACTGCAGCCTTGAACTCCTTAGCTCAAAGGATCCTCCTGCCTCAGCCTCCTAGTAGCTGGATTACAGATGCGTGCCACTATACCCAGCTAATTTTTAAATTTTTTATAGAGATGGGGTCTCACTATGTTGCCTCAGCTGATCTTGAAGTCCTGACCTCAAGGGATTCTCCCATCTCAGCCTCCCAAAGTGCTAGAATTATAGGCGCGAGTCTCTGTGTCTGGCCTATTTCATATTGTTATTTTTTATAGTCCGTTTTCTCCCCACTGAACCATGTTCATAAAGCCATGTTCATAAAGATAGGGACCTTTGTCTGTTTTGTTCACAGATGTTTTCCAAGCTCATAAAATAGGACCTGGCAGATAGGAGAGGCTCAATAAATATTTACTAAATGATTTCATTTTTATTTATACAGCGATTAGTGGAAATATGGATTAGCAAAGGGTCCTCTAGGGAAGAAAAGGGTTTAAGAATTATTATCCTCAGTTTGGCCAGAAGGATGGCTCTACTTTTCGGTTTCTTCCTGTGTATTTGTTGGTACCCCCCACTCCCAAACTCTCCCATCTTCAGAAACATACCTGAGTATTTGTCAGGGTCACACTCATGGCAAGAAGTTTCTCCTTTATTTGAATAAGTGTTGGCTTGGCAAAGTTTGCAGAAAGAGGAGCCCTGCTTGGCTGCATATGTGCCAGGTTTGCAGGGGAAGCATTCTGAAGTGTAGGCCACCCCTAGGGAGAAAAAAAAACAGCACAGAAAAGCAAGGACTGACCCTGGAGACTGAGTCCCTGGGGACCGACTCCCACCCTCCCTGCAAAGTCAACAGGCCAGGAAGTCAGTAACCCCGGATCCAACCCCACTCTCGGTACCTGTTATGGCGATGTTTCTCACCAGCACAGGCTTGGAAACTTTGGACCACACCGAGAAGGCTGTGGTTCTCCAATAGAGGACATTATTGCCTCGATTTAACTCGACCTAAAAACCACAAGCAGGAGGCATTAGTTCATCACACAGACAGATGTCACTAATCTGTCGGTGTAGCCTCTGGCTGGGAGCTCTCCTCTCACAGCCTACCGGGCAGTGCCTACGCTGACCCTCTCCCTCCTCTCGCTCAGCTTTGCCCTTCCTCCCACCTTAGCTTAGCTCCTCTCTTTCTAAGCCCCCTCCTGCAACCCTGTCACGTCCCCTCCCTCTGCTCCCTTGATCACATATTCCATGAGCATCTCTTGTGGCCAGACCGATAAAGGGACCTAAAGGTATACTAACAGCAGGGTGACGGGCATCCCCTCATTCTTCTCTGGTTCTACAGGGAAGAGCCCCCATCTCCAGAAAACACAGCCGTAAAGCTAGAAAGCTGCTGGTCTTTGGGTCAAGCCACAGGAGCAACAAGTGAGCCCACACCCTATTCCATCTACTCTAGAGGAGAGGGAACATAGATAGCATCCTTGTCACATCAGAGGCCTGCTCTCCAGGGACAGAGGGGTGGAGGCTCAGACTGGGAGGAGACACTCTCTGAGGAAGGGCCCTTGGTTCCTCTTCTGGGATCTCCAGGAGAAGGCTGGTCCGATACTCACACTGTGGAATTCCCATCCCTTCTCCGTGGTTTTCATCCACCTGGAGTCATCCGCATTGGGCTGGCACTGGTCGTTCTGAACCTGAGGCACAGGAGTTTGGGACCAGAGCCTCAGCTTTCTACGGAAATGAGTGCCTTACCCCACGCCACCAGCCCTCCAGATGGCCCTTCTCTGGGGAGAAGAGTTGTCAATTTCCTTTAGGGACTGAGCTCAGAACACATGAGCCTCAAAGTAGGGCAGGAGCTAGATGCACACACAAGCGTCTGAGCACTGACATCAAAGAAATGACATGTAGCTCAGACATGCTGTTTTTGGGTCTGAGCAGGACAAAACACCTAGAAATCTTCCAGACTCTCTTCTGCCCCCAGAAGTCCTTTGACTTTGGCCTTTTCTCCTTGCCTCCTCAGGCCTCAGCTTATTTTGCCCATAGTTCTGTCCAGAGGGAAGACTACTGTGATGTCCCAGGCAGAACTATTCTCATGATTGATTCTTGCAAATCAATGTGAACCTCAGAGAGCCTGTACCTCCCACCCTCTCCCTGGGCCAGGGGCTTACAAAAAACTCGAAGATGATGCTGGAGTCGGGGTAGTAGTATTCGAAGTTAACAGTGCCGGACTGCTTCAGGTTGACGGCGTACATCAGCGTGGCTGTGCATTCGTCCGTGTTGGAGGCGATGTAGTCACCCTGGGGGACCCACTTGGACCTGTGAGGGAACAGGGACCAAGGTCACTGGCAGGAGCATGGCCCGCGAGGCTCTGTGCCGTGTGCGGGCCTCCTGTTCTGCGCGGTCTCTGGGAAGTCTAGACTTGTGATTCACAACCCAAGCTTGGACCTGAAAATGCTCAGTGAAGAATGGCTAAAGAAGCTCTGAGGTAGATCAAGGAGCCTGGAGTACAGCCAACAGGAGAATGGCAGGCAGGTTACCCCCCCATTACAGAGAACTACCCAGGAGGTCGATGGCAGGTGAAGGGGAGGAGCAGGGAGTGTAAATATTTACTGGTTGCTTACCAAATACCAACTACCTGGTATTTGTCTTCTTTTAATTTAATTTTTTATTGTATTTAGAGATGGGGTCTTGCTCAGTCACCCAGGCTGGAGTGGGGTTGCACAATCATAGCTCACTCAAATTGCTAGGCTCAAGTGATCCTCCTGCCTCAGCCTCCTGAGTCTGTGTAGCTGAGACTATAGGCATGTACCACCCTGCCTGGCTGACCTACGTGTTTTAAATTCGTGATTTCTTTTCCTCAATAAGAGGAAGTGCTATTTCTTTCCATTTAATAGATGATGAAACTGAGGCTGGGGGAGTAACATGCCCAATATCACAAAGCCAGCAAGTGGCAGGGCCAAGATTCAAACCCAGCTCTGCCTAACTCCAAAGCTGCCAAAGTCAGTCAGTAAACATAGATGTGCTTCAGAAGTCAAGAGTCCACCCAGTCTAGTCCACCTAGAAATGTCCACTTTATTCTTTTTTTCCATGTGTCAGCTGAATTTGCAATTTATGGAAACAGTCACCTAAAGATGCTACATGTAAGTAGTTTTTATGGGAAGGGCTAAGGCCAGAGAAGCCCAGAGAAAACCAATCTAGTCACGTCTGCTTTGTCTCCTAAGTACGTCTCAATACTACCCAGCCTACCCAAGGGCTTTCCCTACACCCACCACCTCTGAACTGCCTCCAAACTCATCTCCCTGCATCCAGTCCTGCATTCTCCAACCCTTCTCCACGCTGACCACATCACTCCCCTGCTTAAAACCCGTGTGACTGACTCCCTGTTGCCCTCACAATGGGGTACAAATTCTTGGCCCCTTCTTTATACTCTAGCCCTATAGAATTTCTTTCAATTCCTCTGCCAAACTTCTCTTACTCCTGGGCCTCCCCCCATGCTGTTCCTTCTTCTTAGAACAAACTTCCTCCTTCTTCCCTCTATTTAATTCCTACTTATGTCTTAGAGTAAATGCCACTTAATCTAGATTCCTTGACTCTATCTGCCTCTGCCATGGGTACCCTTAACTCTCTTTGTTTCCCTCCTCACAGCTATCTCCCCATCTATTTTATTTATCTTTAGTATGTTATGAAAATTTAAGACCTACACAAAGTTATAATGAATACTCATCTGCCTGCCACCCTGCTTAAGAAGTACAACACAGCAGAAGCCTCCGTGTGCCCCAGCCCACCTCACCCCCCTTCCTGTGACACAGTCCCTTCCCCACTGCCAAGTGAACACTTTCCTGAAGCTGAACATCCCATGTGGTTCTCTCTCTGTATGTATCTCTACACAATATACTGTATGGTAGTACTTTGCATGTTTTTCAACTTTATGTAAATGGTATTATACTTTTATGTTCTGCAACTTGTTGTTTTTTTTTTTTGTGGAAGAGGCTTCAAAATAATGATTACAGGATTCATCCATACTCTCACATGTAGGTCTTCTCCCTTCATTTTTACTACTGCATAATATTGCTCTTAATGGCTCTACCATATTTATTTACGCATTACTTATTGATGGACGTTTAAATTGTTTCCAGTTGTTTGCTATTGTGCACACTCTGCTATGAACATTCTTATTCCTGTCTCCTTATGCACACGTCTGAGTGGAATGCCTGGGAGTAGAACCATTGGGTCAGAGGGTATGTGAACCTCCAATTTTACTAGCTACTGCTACCCTGTTCTCCAAAAGAGTTGTATCAATTTATACCCAGAGCAGTGTACGAGAGCTCCTGGTGTTCTGCATCCTCTCCAAATTTGGAACTGTCAGACTTTAAAATTGTTGCCAATATAATGTGGTAGGAAGTAAGTGTCTAACTGGGCTTTAAATCTTATTTCCTTGGTTACCAGTAAGGTTGAGCATCTTAGCTTATTTGCAATTTGGGTTTCCCCTTCTGATCAAACTTTATTTTATTTTAATTCTTCTTCAGCTGTCTAGCTTCCTGGCTGGCCTATAGATTTTGTGAGGGCAGAGACCAAATTTACCTTGCTCGCTAATGTATCTCCAGCACAAAGACCCAGGCTTGGCACAGAGGAAAGACTCAGGGATTAAACAGAGGAATGTGGGAATGGGTGATCAAAAGCAACCCCACTTTTTCACTGTTTTGCCCAATATCAGACCAGGTCTCCAATTGCTTTATAATGGCCAGTTAAGGAAACCTCAAATTAGTTCACAGGTTTCCCCCTGTTTGCCAAAATAACGTGGTATATTTCCTGTTCTTCAATAGTCTGTGTTATGCTCAAAATGGAAACATAAACTGAGCTCATCCAAAATATCCTAGCTAACCAAAGAGAGAGCATTGATCTCTCCCTGTTGAAAGAGACTTTTAATGCTGATGTGCTCCATGGCATAAGCTATAAATAACTCCTGAAGTTTGATGAATAATTAAAAGGATGCCATAAGTGGGTCACATTTGCAAATGCATCATAATTCTGATTTTCATCAGAGTTGTCCCTGGTAAAGACATTTCACAGTAAATAATAACATATTCTGATTAATTTCCAGGGCCAGGCATTACTATAAATTCTTTCCCCATATCATTTCATTTAATTCTTACCATAACCTATGAAAGTACTATTTTTTCATCACTTTTAGCATGAGGAAACTGAGGCTTAGAGGTGATTAGGAAACTTGTCACAGGTCAGTTAGTTGTGATCTGCATATAATGTTTTTAATTTTTAATGTTTACATTTATTTTTCTCTCATTCTTATTTCACTGTCACAGTATTTGAGCTTCTGCTCACTCTTTTCTATAAGACATCCTGAGCACATAGCACGTGCCTATAATCCCAGCTACTTGGGAGGCTGAGGCAGAAGGGCTGCTTAAGCCAAAGGTTTGAGACCAGCCTGGGCAACATAGCAAGACCCTATCTCAAAAAAAAAAAAAAAGAGAAAAACTTGGATATTTTCTGTAGGAATGGTCTTCTAAAAACAAAATCAACATCCTTTCTGTTACTCCCTCTTCACTTGTGTTTCCTTTTGCTTACCCCAGTCTCTGATCTAGGACCATTTCCTGCACCTTAGCCCTGGGACACATACCCAGGAACCATGGAAGATTCCTGAAGGCTCAGAATGCTGCCATTAAGACTACATACAGTTGGTCTGTTTTGTTCCCAATTACTTATCTTGTGTCTACTTTGGGCTAGATGCTATGTTAGATGCAGGAGACACAGCAACAAACCAGGTTAGAGCTTGGCTTGCATTCTGTTTCTAGTAGAGGAGACACAAACCTGTCACACATCAGTCACACAGTCCTGACTGTGGTAGGTGCCATAGGAGAAATACAAGATGATACAAGAGTGTGTAACAGGAGTCTATGGGGTCAAAGATGGTTTCTTTGAGGAGGTGACTTTTAGGCAGAAACCTGAGGGTTAAGTCGGAGTAATCTAGGAGAGGGACCAGAGTTCAAAGGCCCCAAGAAGGGAAGGAGCGTGGCGGTCAGTGTGGCTGGAGCACAGCAAGCGAGAGGGAAGGCACTTGGGCGAGACTGGGCAGACGGCAGAGGCCAGAGGCCCTGCTGGCTGTGTGAAGGTAGCTGATTTTATCTTAAGAGAAATCAGTCACCATGGAATCCAGAGTTTTGAACAAGAAAGTATTGTGATTGGATTTTTGCTTTAAGAAGATGAATCTGGCTGCTGAGAAGACAGCGGCCGAGAGGAGTCTGGGAGTGGAAGCAGGAGACCAGCTGGGAGGCTCTTGAGGCAGAACAGGCAGGAGCCGACGCTAGCTTGGGTGAGGTTGGAGGCCGTGGGGCTGGATTTGGGCAAATACACAGCTGAACAGGAAAGCCGGACACTTGGGCTCTTGGTATCAGCTCCATTATTGCCTTTCAGCGGGATGGTGGGGAAACCACAAAACCTCTCTAGGTGGCCATTTCCTCTCCAATTCTACAGAGCAGAAACATCCTCCCCCTCCCTCTTTCCCTCTAGGGATGTCATGGGATACCTTAGGGTCCAGGCACTGATATAGTCTGTGCCATAAATTGTCATTAACCTGCCCTCATCCTGCCTTGCTGAGAGATAATGATTTCTAGACTCTCAGTGCCGTCCCCAGAGAGAGGAATCCTTCCTTTACACGGGTAGGAATTGATTGAGCCAGGTCTGCACCTTGTCCATGGTCAGATGACATTCTCCATCAGGACTCAAATGGGGGTGGGTTGTCTCAACCCACACATTCCCTCTCCTTCCAGCTTTCATCCTCTCCAGCTTTATCTAGCTTTTTGCTTTTTATTTCTTTTATACTTTGGTGTTTTATTATTTCCAAATCTCAGGCTATGTACAGGAAATGAGAGCATTGTTAAAATAAGGGAAAAAGGACCTAAAAATGGCCTGGCTGGCATAGCCAGCCATGAGGAGCAGTGGGGCGTGGGCCCCACCAGCCTGTCCGCTGGGCCCCAGGGCCTCTTGGCACTGACTGTGTGGCCTGTGTGCCCCGGTGTGGCAGAGGGACAGTGCAGGGGCTGGCACTGTGCAGTGCGTGCCCATCCGCTGGGCACCCTCAGTAGCCCTTAGCCCCTTCCCGGTCAGCTGGTTTTGTAGTTGTCCTGGCAGAGCTGGGGGTGCAGAGCCTTAGGTCTTGTCCCCAAAAGTCTGGAGTTGCTGTAGGTGTCCTTAGGCATGCTAATGAATTTGACACATAACCTTGAACTCTAAAATAACATTAAAACTGGATGACATATTGAATGCCTGCTTCTTGGCTCCAGACAAGATTTAAGTGTAGGAATGGGGACATTGCTCCCAGTTTTGGAAATCCAAGAGTAATACAATTGTTAAGTCCCTTCTATCCATTTGATCGCCTGGGTATAAGAGAAACTCATTTAGTTTCCTCCCACGTTCACTGTCAATATTTAACAAAGAGCAATGTACTTTCATATCCTTGCATCCCCCTCTTTTACTATCTAGGACCCAATATTGCCTTACACACAACAAATGTCATTTGAAGGTGGCATTATGGGGCAGCAGAAAGCTTGGGACTGGGTTTGAATCCAATCTCACTGGTTGTAAGCTGGATAACAAAGGGCAGGTCACTTAACCTCGCTGAGCCTCCAGTTCCTCCTCTCTGTAATACGAACAGTAACACCTATTTCACAGGGTTCTTGTGAGGATCAGAGAAAATGGCATGTGTAAAGCACCCAGAATAGTGTATGGCATTCACACACAGTGTGAGAAAGCATGAGAGGCATGGATGTGTTATGCACATCTGAAATAAAAAGCCAGTTCTCCATGGACCCTGGACTGAGCTTTTCTTTCTTTCTTTCTTTCTTTCTGAGACACAGTCTCGCTTTGTTGCCCAGGCTAGAGTGCCGTGGCATCAGCCTAGCTCACAGCAACCTCGAACTCCTGGGCTCAAGCAATCCTTCTGTCTCAGCCTCCCGAGTAGCTGGGACTACAGGCATGCACCACCATGCCTGGCTGATTTTTTCTATATATATATTAGTTGGCCAATTAATTTCTTTCTATTTTTAGTAGAGACGGAGTCTCACTCTTGCTCAGGCTGGTTTCGAACTCCTGACCTCGATCCTCCTGCCTCAGCCTCCCAGAGTGCTAGGATTACAGGCGTGAGCCACCGCGTCTAGCCTGGACTGAGCTTTTCAATTACTGACAAAGGTCTCCTTCTGAGCTGGGAAATCTTGCCGTCACTGGGGTCTCAGCCAGCACTGACCAAAGCTCTGGTCTGGTCCTACTCTATTCCCTCATGAACTCAGGTTAGGCAGAACCAGTTTTAGAAGTTAGCACCCAAGCCAGGAAGAGCCCCGACTCTTGGCAATAAAGCACTGTGGTCCAGTCAAGTTGAGGAAGTGTACTGGCTGATCCAAAGTTCCACGATGGAAATCCAGTGGGTTTTGTCTTAAGCAGACTGGGCCATTTAACCCTATTCCCCCTTATCTACTCGATTTCCCCGTGTTTTTCACCTCCCACAAAAGGCCTGTCGGTCACTGGTAAGCTTAGGGCAGTGAGCGGCTCAGGCGGAGTCACATCCAACAGTCCGGGGGACCTGCAGCAGCCCTCCCCCTGGCAGCGTGGCTCCTCTTCCTCGGTCAGTCCTCCCAGCCCGGCCTGAGGAGCAGCGGAGGGGCAGGGGCGGCAGGTAAACTCACGAAGTGCAGTTCTCGGTGGACTCAGAGATGCTGTCGTCGATCTCCATGTTGGCGGAGAGGCTGGCGAAGCCGTGGGGCAGCTCATCCCACTCGTCGAACCGGATGCCCGTGCCCAGGGAGTAGCGGCCCTCAGCGCACGGCTTGCAGGACTGGTCCTTCATGTCCAGAAACTCCCCGGCGTTGCAAGAGAAGGCTGGAAAAGAGGACGGGGACAAGGGAGGGGGGGTGAGGTCGCTGCAGCCCCAGGAGAGGCGGTCAGGCTGTGGGTATCCCCAAGGGAGGAGGAGCACAGGGCTGGGTGCGAGGAGTCTGACCCACTAAGATGTAGGACCATGGCACGTATTGCGTGATCCTGCTTGTATGGAATGTCCAGAAAAGGCAAAGCCATAGGAGACAGAAAGTAGATAGGTGGTTGCCAGGGGCTGGTGGGAGGGACCTGGGGAGAGATTGCTAATGACATGAGGTTTCTTTTCAAGGTGATTAAAATGTTCTGAAAATACAAAGTGATGATGATGGTTGCCGTGAATATTCTAAAAACCAATGAATTTTACCTTTAAAGGGGTGATTTTTATGGCATGTAAAGTATATCCCAATAAAGCTGTTAATAAGAGAGAGAGAGAGAGAGAGAGAGAGAGAGAGAGAGAATTGATTGATTTAGGGCCATGGATGCTCTGCCTTGCCTTGCTCCAGGACTTTGGACTTATCCCTGGCAGTCTTGTTTCCTTTTGAGACGCGCGTAGGCCATTCTGGAGCTCTCCAGGGAAGAGGATGCCATGGTCTCTCCTGCTGACCCCTCTGAATGGTGCACAGCCCTTCAGCCTTGAGTTTCCCTCTTGAGTCTCTGGCCTTTGTCTCCTCCTTTCTAGTTCTATTACTACCATGCTAGCTGGGATTCTCATGAGCTGCTAACTCAACCACTGTAATGCCCTCCTAACTAGTTCCCTATTCTTGTTTTTGCACATTCTGTGGTCAGAGGTACCTTTTTAAAACACCGATATGTACTACTAGTCTCCTTATTTAAAAAATAACCAGACATTCCCTTTTGGTTATTGAATTAAGCTCACAGCCTGGCATTCAAATTCTGCCACAATTTCCCCCAGACTAACTCTCCAACTTGACCTTCCACTACAGATCTATCTCTGCCTTGATCCCACCTGTCACCTTCTCGGTGTTGCCTCCAACCAGGACCACAAGCTCTTCCCCAAATATGTCACTGTTCTTCCACCTCCAAACTTTGGCTCAAGTGGTCCTCCCAGCTGTTCCTGATTTCTAAGCATCCATTATGCTCGTTCTTTCTCACATTGTATATGTCTGCCACCCACTAGGCTCTGAGCTCCTCCAAGGACAGCTGGCTCAGTGACTAGCACAGACAGAGTGGGAGCTCCACGAAGCTTTGCTGAAATGAGTGGATGAATGAATGTCTGCTCCTCCCACTACACTGTAAGCTTCTGAAGACAGAGATGGTGCCTTATTCATGTTGTGGTCCACACTGCATGTGCACATCATAGTGCTTACACATAGTGGGAGCTCACTGAAGTCGGCAGAGGGAACTGGAGATGGCTCATTTGTTTCCATCAGTCACACCTCGGTTCTGCTCAGATCTCAGCAATATCCATTTATTAATGCAATAAGTACTTATTTACAAATACAGTGCCTACTCAACCAGGCACTGTGCTGAGCTGATTTTAGAATCTGAATACCCTCCATCTCCTTTCAAATTCTTCAAATGATTTCTTAATTCTAGTGCCTGATTTTTATTGTTATTCTCTTTGCATTCCTAAAAGAACAGTGCAAGGGCAGAGCGCCAATCGGTTATCTCATGGTTCTTTTACAGAACAGTGCAGGAGACATTGCCAATTGTAAAAAAGTTGTTGACTGCAGAGTCACAGAGGCAGGATGGGAGCTGCACTGAGACACTGTCTTTCCTATTGCACAGTCAGATCCACAGTTGGGAACATTCTTGTCTCCTGAACTGATGCCTGGTGTATTTTAAAGGATGTCTTTTGCAGAAATTTATCCTCTCTGGCTTCCTTTTTAAGAACACAAGCAAATCGCAATCTTCCCTAATGACTGATTGTGGCTGGGGAGTATAGATTGGAGAGAAATACACAGGAAAAAAAAAGAAAATGTATGCAAAAAGAAAAAAAAATCCGAGTGGCACACAGCTGGAATTTTTGCTTATGCTGTATCCACTGATGGGATTTAAATGTTTTTAAAAAAAATGAAAGCAAATTCAAATATCCAGTTTGCATCCATGAAATAATATTTTTGCACCAAATTTCGAAAGGGTTGGGGATGGGGACTAACTAGGGGAAAGATCTGATTCTTTAAGGCAGCTGCACCATGTGGAAGGGCCTATCTTGGACAGCAGGAGGCTTGGAGGGAAAACCAAAGCTGAGTGGCAGGGAGGCCCTGGAGCAGGATGGCTGCTTACAGCACTCGGTGCCCTTGACGGGGTCGGGGAGGCTGGTGCACAGGCCCGGGGTGTGCGGCACGGCGACCCTCCACCTGGAACCCGTGCTGTCACACGCGGTGTACTCATAGTGGTACTCAGACTGTAGGGGAGAGAACAGTGGGCAAAATGTCCATTAGCAGTGATCAAATATTAACAGCTTCCCACCCACTTCCTGCCCAGCAGGATGGCTACTGACAGTCATCCTCATAGTAATGGGCCCTGGAAACCCGGGCAGGGAGCAAGGTATCATGGTGCTGAAATGATTTTGATACAAGTACGAGAACTACAATAATTTGGATCATTCCTTCCCACCTGGCCATGGTCTAGTCCCTAGAAATACATTGTGTGTGTGTGTGTGTGTGTGTGTGTGTGTGTGTGTGTGACTCTCTTTGCTGTTGTGTGTTAAGTAATGTCCTGATGGAACAGAGGAATGTGGGAAGGTAACTAAAGAACAGGCTAGAAACAGAGGGAGTTCTTCTTATTCCAAACTGTAGAATTTATGAGCAAGGATGTTTTAAATGGAATGATGTCCTGAATGGAAGGGCAAGTCCACAAAAAAATTTACAAAGAATTGTCCCAGAAGCTGTATTTCTATTTCCCTGTGTTCCTCACACTCCCTTATGCTGAGAAAGACTATTAATTCCCACTTGCATTTTATGAAAATGTCATCTTTAGCCCAGACAAGTGATGTGTTCTCATCACATGAACCTGTTCACGCCTACTTTCTCTGTGCAGTGAGAAACTCACAGTTCAGTTGCTTTATCTGAACTAAAGATAAACTGAATAATAAACAGCAAAACAGCCAAATCAAGCATTAAATAAAACAACAGCAAAAACAACAAAAAGTACTACTCAGGAGAAAGAAAACACAATTGATAGGTCAAATGTTCTTAAGTACTTCTCACTCTTTTAAATCTTGTAATAAACAACCGACTATGGAATTAGTGAGGATTTGGGCTCTGACAAGTATTTTACAATCTGCCTTACCTAAAACTGTATTCAAACCCAGAGGTACTTTGTATTATTGTATCCATAAGAAAAATAAAATTAATGCCCCCCTTCAACCCACATGACAGCATGATTACAAGGCATGTATAACCTAGAGGAGCTGACTCTAAAAATGAGAGAGTTCTGAATTTGCTAATCTAATAATGCATCAGGACCAAAAGGAAAAACTTTTACCTTTTGGAATAGGTAAACATACTGCATTTGATCCATTCTAAGATGCATGTTTTTACTACATTTAACCTCTGTGAAACCAAGATATATCTTATAATTGACGCAGTAAGGAAGCATCGTGTCATTGTTAACTGATAGAGCTGTTTCTTTCCTTGTGGCACATAAAAAATGGTCTCAGAAGAAGTGGCATATCGAGCTTATTGAAATATGATAAATGTGTTGTTTCTTGATCTCTGGTTTCAAAAACTTAGAATGATCAGAGAACAATTTTAAGGCTCCGTTTTTATTTTCCTCTATTAGAAATATCACCAAATACATATTATTTGCCAAGCACCTAGAGGTAGGAGATGCGCCTGGTAAGCTCAGCACAGCAACACATAAACTCAGCATTTTCACCCAGAGGGAGAAGATGCAGAGGAGATGGGGAAAATTTAGGGAACATCGAGCCTAAATTTTGACCAGCGTCTTTGGCTTTGGATTTAGATGTCACTGTCACCTAGGAAAGAAAGATGATAAAGATGGGAGTTCTTTGTGCCCTGGGGCTACCATCTCTCTGGGGCTATTTTTCCTCACAATTCCACTCTTTTCTTCATCTCAAAGGATGCTGAGGATAAATAGGGCGACGACACATATATCATGTCAATTCCGGCTCTAAAAACGATACTCTCAAAAGTGCTTTGCTGCAAGAATGAGGGGTCAGACCCACAGCATGTAAATTAAATGGAGAGCTGTGTGAACAAGGGAGAAAGGATTCAACGTTCTGCCCGTGAGCATGATCATGTGGTCTTTTTATAGTGCTTTCATTGTTCCCAAACACCTCATTTGATCTTCGCAAGTCCCTATAAGGCAAACAGAGCAGAGGCTGTTCCCTTCAGGGCACCAATGAGATTAGTGACCCTCAGCGGGGTGAAAGAGCTCACCCACGGTCACACAGCCTGTACATCACTGAGCTAGAACCCAGCCCTTCCCACCAGGAATCCTCTTCCACCCTCATGGAGCTGATCAAACACAAACTCACACTGGGCCAAATTTAAAAGCCAAATCTGAAAATTAACTATGACAGTGTTGGTTGTCTGCCAGCAGCCAGGCTCACATCTCAGGCGATAGAATCAGTGTTAAAATATCTAATCTGTTCAAGCAGATAATTTCCATTCACTCTGACTGCATTTGGCCTTTTAGGGGCACACGGGCCAAGTCCATTACTTTTCATAGTCTTTCATTTGGGGTCCCCTGGGCCCCACTCGGGTGGGAGGTTTGCTGGGGAAAACGGTAGCTCGAAGCCTTAGAAAATTTCCCTTTCAATATGTGCTAATTTACTTCATGCCATTTGGGAATATTTACAGTCTTGGAGGTGGCTGGCTCTGATGCACCTGTTTCAAGTCTGAACTACATTTGAGATCACACCACTCAAGACATAAGCTTAGAAAGAGTTAAGTCAGCCATATAACTGGCAGGACTCCTCAATTACATTCAGTGCTCTGTGAACAAGTCCCCAACAGTACCTCAATTTACCCAGTGATCAATCTTTGAAAGTGTGCAATCTGCATATTGTAGAGGATCACAAAGGAGGCACACAAACACATTCAGTGCATATATCCAGCACACAATTCCTTCCTCCCCACCGTGCACAATTATGATGACACATATCCAAACTGTAATGCTAAATGAGACACAGCAGGCAGTGGCTGCTGCCTGTTCATTAGGGAAATAAGGGAAGGGGACCATTAGTTAGTCCATCCTCCCTAGTATCACCCCAAAATGTAATACTCCTGGGCATATAAGAAGGAAGAGGAAAAAAACTCCGAAGTTGAAATCTGCTTTGCCTAATATTGAGCTACCTGTTGGTAACACTGATCTTTCAGCTCCAGAGAAATTTACTTAGACCCACAATAGTTTTAGTCCTTGCTGTCTAGGTATTGAATGGACTGCTGAAATGATTTTTTTTTTAAATTGCCAAGTCAGGATGGAAATCTGTCCTTCCTTCCATCTTTCCCCCGCCTTTCTTTCAAAATAACATGTCTCAGTTTTTTAAATGGTTATCAAAGTAATAGTTTAGAGGCTAGAGATTATTGATAATCTGTGGTTAGATGCTAGAGAAGTGTTTGAGTGCCATCCACTGTGGAAAATAGATACAATTTAAGCTGATGAGCTGGTGACAAAGAGATGTGGTCCACTGGCAGTGGGAGGGCCATAGGACTGGGTTAGCCTCCTTGGTATGTTCTAAGTAAACAGGCCAGTTAGAAGTGATCCCATCACCCCATTCCCACATGGTGCTCGACTTCCCTAAGCCACAGTTGCCTTATCAAAAAATGGGGATATACAAATATCTGCCTTATTAGCAGGGCTGCTGTACACAGTTGTGCAGGCTATTCACAAGGCTACTACTTCAGGGCATGAGTGGAGGATGAAGTCTAGCTCAAACTGCTAGATGGTATGCCCTATTGTGGGGCTTCATCTACCCTGAGAGGGGATGCCTTTTTCCCATGTGCATTTGGTCAGCTATGAGCATGATTAAGATGATGTAGGTCAAGCACTTGGCACAGTAGGTTAAGTGCTTGGGTTCATCTTCGAAACAACCCAATGAGGTGGGTACGATTATTTTACCATTTTACAGATGGGAAAACTGAGGCATTGAGAGGTGAATTTGCTCACTCAAGACCACACAGTCTGGAGGCTGTCAAGCTAGGACTGGACCCAGGCTATCTGAGTCCACTTTGTGTTCAAGACTGCTGGTATTAGAGAGCATCCTGTCACGCTTAAAAAGTGTGTCTGGGGCTCGGCATTGGCTCCCAAGCTGCTGAAAACCTTGCAAGGAAAGCCAATCGTATCAAAAACTTCGCAAACACATGGGAGTAACATTCATAGGGCATTGGGCAGGTGGGAGGGGGGAGGAGAGGATGGGTAAATTCACACCTAATGGGTATTGTGTATAATGTCTGGGGATTGGGCACACTTGTAGCTCCAACTTGGGTGGTACAAAGGCAATATATGTAACCAAGACATTTGTACCCCTGCAATATTCTGAAATTTTTTTTTAAAAAGGACACTAAAAAAAAATTTTTGCAAACAAGGCCCAGGGGAGAAAGGCTCAAGTCCAAAACCACGTGGAATGGGAAGGCTAGAAGGTACTTCAAACCATGGAGGTTCAACAAGGACGTCATTGTTTTTGCCTGCCCAGTGTCCACCCCCCTCCTGCTGGTAACAGCGCCCCTGTGGGAGGATATATTGCCTCCTTACTGTATACAGTCTCGGTCAAATGAGGTGGCCCACCCTCCTCTGCCATGGGATGGACATACGACCCCACACTGGCCAATTGGGTGCTCTTCCTGGATAAGTGGAAATGGGATAAGGGGGCTGAGGACACTTAGCCACTGAGCAGGGACCTCAGGTGGGTCGGAACTGAGAGAGGGATCCGGTAGGAAGTGGGGCAGCTGGGGATAAACCCTCTCCTTTATCCCAGTTGTTCTGCCCAGTTCCCAGTTCTGCCCAGGACTGCTGTTGGTGCCCCCCCAACAAAAATCCACCTTAGTAATAAAAATGAAGATTATGCTAAGTAAAATAAGGCAGCCCTAAAAGGACATATACTGTATTATTCCATGTGTATTAGGTACAGACTTGTCAAAATTCATAGACACAGAAGGTAGAATGGTGGTTGCCAGGGGCAGAGGAATGGGGCGTTACTGTTTAATGAGCACAGTGTTTCAGTTTTGCACAATGAAGAGTTCTGTGGATGATGGTGATGGTGGGCTGGGGAGGAGACAGACCGTCAGTAGATATGCAAATAAGCTTAATTGCCACCGCATACTCTTGGTCTTTTTTTTTTTTTTTTTTGAGACAGAGTCTCACTCTTGCCCCAGCTAAAATGCTGTGGTGTCAGCCTAGCTCATAACTCCTGGGCTCAAGCAATCCTCCTGCCTCAGC